TCAGGAAGGATTTTTTTTCCCCTGCTGGAGCAAATTGGATCATGCTTTGCTGGTTTTTTTTGCCTTCCTCTGGATCAACTGTACGTGTAGGATTGTAAATTTTTTATGGTTGAATTGGATGGACTTTTGTCTTTTTTTCAGCCAGACTATCTATGTAACTATGTAATAGTAAGCAAGCTGTCATGAATAGAAGCCATTCATGACAGTTTTGCTTCCAAGGTATCATATGATTGGTCACAGGATACCACGGCCACTCATAGCGGAAGGGTACTGAGCACTGTGATCTGGTCATAGGACCGTGCCGCTGAATGGCCCAGAAGGAGCACCAGCGTGCATGTTCTGAGTGACGTACCAGTGAGTCACTGAGCCTAGCTGTGTCGCCTGCTAGCAGTAAATATACTGTTAGTGGGCAGCAAGTGGTTAAAGCTGAATACCAGTCTTATCTTTTCTTTTTCAAATAAGCAGACTATCTCCCTCTGTGCTGACACTTCCTACTGGCTTTTTCCTGCACAATTTAATTTCTCTGGTACTTAACAGAGGACAGCAGAATCTGAGACTTTCTTAACTTCCATCTCCAATGACTTCCAAGCCCTTTCCTAAATCTAGCTCCAAATGATGGCCCACCCCTCACACCTTTGGCTGCCTGCATCTTTCAAACTTTAATTCCTTGCGTCCTGTGTGCTGTTGGGGGAATAAAGGCTGTAGTGACATGTGGGCTTTCTTTCAGCCCCTTCCACGCAAGCAGGGCTTGAGAAGAGCACAGCAAATTCCAGGAGCCAGCAATGATGATGAGAAGAGGTTTAAGCTATACTACCTTTTTATGTATGATCAGGAAGGAAGAGTGTTTAAGATAATGTGTTTATTTGGGACATAAAGCTTCATTTTTAGTCTATCACCCTTTGTAATTCCTTTGGCTTTTGGGAAACAGTGATTTCAGAATAGTTCCATTTGAGTTGGTATTTAAAGTGAGTCTGAAAGCAAGGTTTTTATTTATTAAAAATAACAAACATGTCATACTTACCTGCTCTGTGCAATGGTTTTGTACAGATCAGTCCTGATCCTCCTCTTCCTGGTTCCCCTGCTGGTGCTCATGGTCCCTCCTGTGTCACCATAGCAACCTGCTTCTGAGCCAACCCTGTGTGTACATGTACACACAGAGCTTAGCTCAGCCTAGCCCCCCCCCCCCCCCGCTCTCTCCTTATTGGCTGTGATTGACAACAGAAGAAGCTAACAGCTTCCAATGCAGTCTCTGAGCCACTGAGAAGAGAGAGACATGAGAGAACCGATGCTCTCATGCACATTGCTGGATCAAGATCAGGGTTGGGGAGGAGCTGAATGCAGAAGCTTTTTTACATGAATGCAAAAAATGCATTAAGATAAAAACAGTCCTGCCTTTAAAACCACTTTAAATGGGGGGATACAAAGCATAAACAACCCAAAGATCACTTAAATGTTTAGATTGAGAATATGTGGTTAAAAAGAGTCACCACCAATTTCAGGGTACCAGAATTAATAGCGTTTTATGTGGTGCTGTGGAAGACAAGGGCAATGATTACGTGCTTTGGCTAATTCGCAATTTGACAATTGTGCAAAATGTACTTTCTTATGTAATCAATGAGGCTCTGAGGGGCAAGGTTATCTTTCTTTTTCCCCATTGCTTTTCTGTGGGGGAACTGAGCAAGCTCTGGTTTTGTTGCTTATGTAAATTGTATTGTTTCGTTTTCATTTTTTTTCTGTTTTAATTGTTTATTGTAGGGTGCCTTGAGCCAGGGTATAACCCATTGTTTCTGTTTTGTACATGTGAAATACTAATAAAAATAATTTAAAAAACAGACATTGAAACATAAAAACATTGGACAATTAATGTAGCAAGTGGGAACAAATTCTCTATAAATAAAAAAAAACTATATGGCTGAATAGTTCTTTTTAAATATGGCAGAAAAGGAAATAATTTAAATGCATAGTGATTGAGTGTACTGAAACTGCACCAATGCAGACTGTAAGAAAATCTGCAAAAGAGAGAAATCCAGTTAGCAAAGACTGATGATGAAAAACATATTGCCAACAATACTAAATTAAATCCCCGAACATTTTACAAATGTTTAAAAATCAGTGAAAGATGTTGGAATATGTAATTGCAGAGCACAAAGCAAAAGCTAAATTAAAATGCATATTTTTCATCTGTTTTCACAAAAGACAGACAGTTCTAGGGAATATGGTAAACAGAGATAGATAACCAGTGATGTCATTTAATGCTACCAACCTAATGCTGTAAGAGTAGTAGGCAGAGGCGCAGACAGGAAAGGTAACAAACCTGGCTCAGCTGGCAGTGATCCCATGTGCTAAAGAAATTAAGCTCAATATGTGATAACCTACTACTGCCCTTAATTAATAAAGAGTTATTTTTTATTCTTAAAGTGGTAGTAAACCACCGCATGGTGACTTGTACCTACAGGTAAGCTTATAATAAAAGTTTCCTGTGGATACAAGGAATATCTCCTAAATGTGCACTGTTTAGGAGATATTCACTATTAATGCAGTTGGTGACATCTCCATCACATGCACTATGCACTCTGAAGGGACAGCATATTGGGTACGCTGTCCCTTCAGAGCATTGCAATGTGGCTGTGGCTCCGATGCACATGCACAGGAGTGACATCATCGCGGCTCGGCAATTCAAATGCCCGGAGTTCACAAACCCAAAAGGAAGACAGTGAAGATGGAAGCCCGGATAGTAGTGACAGCATGCAGCTGGAGGGCTGCATGCTGTAGTCTGAAACAGCTGAAGTCTTTTACCATGTGCTAGTATGTGATGCATACTCACACATTATGACATTATCTTTAACCACTTTAAGACTGCTGTTGTGGGTTACCTATTCATAGGTATTTTAATAGATGACATATAAAATATACATAGCAGAAAAAATTATCTGTATAAATCACTAATAAATCGTATGGAAAATGTTACTTACAATAAAAGTTTTTATTTTAATTGGGTTCCATTTTCAGCATAAATAACATCCTTGGAGGTGGCTTAATAATTTGTTTAATCTCTTCAGTAGTGATCAGTCAAATTGGCCTGGGTTTTGTTTGCAAGGTTCAGAAAACTTCAAAGAAGTCTGGATGCCGAACACAAACCCCACTGAAATTAACAGGAGCTGAATTTGTCAAATAAACATGCTCTGAGGGGGCATGATTGGCAATGCTGGGGTGAAGACTCGCTATCTCTGAGCTCTTCTTCCTATGAGCTTTAACAGAGGACTATGGGACAAAGGTACTCCCATAGTGTAGTGAGTATGATAAGAAACTTTATTGTGATGCATCAAAGTAGGTAGTAAAATAGCAGACAGGAATCAATGAAGACTGACCATCTGATAATCTAAGATGGCCGCCAGAGCTCCATGTTGCACCGGCGGCGTGACGTCACGGCGTGATGTGGCTCCTCAGATGGTCAGTCTTCATGATTGATTCCTGTCTGCTATTTTACTACCTACTTTGATGCATCACAATAACGTTTCTTATCATACTTACTACACTATGGGAGTACCTTTGTCCCTACCCCTTGGGGGAGCTTTTTAGCCTGCAGACCCACTATACCAGGGATGGACCAGTACTTCCTAAGGGATACTCACACACTCTGAGAGATACCTATTGGAGAGAGGGACATCTAGTGGACGGAGAGTGTCTTCATCAGCTGCTTTTCACTCAATATGATGACCCACCATCCCATAAGAGGGAAGTGCATCTCCTAAACCAGTCCTCTATCTGATGACATCTGGATTATTGTTACAAGGCGCATTATGCGCGCCCGGTGAGTGCGCATTACCTTATCAATTTGCACTGATACCGGGTCCAGTGTCACCATAGCACAAGAAGCAACTTATCACTATCATCAATCTCATTGGAACTTTTTTATATTGATATTCTATTTATTTGGTTTATAATATATATCAGCACTGCACTTATTTATTTATTATAGTACATTTTTATTGTTTAACATGTGGCCCTACATATGCACACTTTAGCTCAACCTGTCTGAGGCAGAGCTGTGGCTGAGGGATGGTGGGGAAATGAACAGACCAAAGATGAGGCACAACAGGAGGTCAAAGAACTTTATCTATTGGCAATATGATCCTCAGCTTATTCTGTTGACTTGGACTGTTATATTCCTGTCATACATGCCAAGTGCAATTTGAACAGGAATGGTTTTTTTTTATATACTTATCCCCTCCCACCTACCGCCTTCACTTTTAGTTCACCCTCTCCTCTGCAGAGAAGTGGATAGGAGGTGGGAAAGCAATGGGAAGACTACAGTTATGATACAATGAGAGGCCAAACCACTTTAATGATGGCTGATAAGATCCCTTACTTATTTTGAGGACCTGGACTGTTTTAGTCAAGCTGATTAGCATGTGTCTTTTATCTGTTAAGTGTTACCAAAAAAGGAGAGCTATGCTTTCAGTTCTGGTCAGTGCTTTGCTCCTCTCACCAAGAAGTCTTACATTGCTCATAGTTCACATTCTACAACAGGGCCAAGAGTATATGCTAGAGGAGCAAATGGTGGACTGCAATTGTAACACAATGAAAGACCGAAACACACAATCAATAGATGAAAGGATTTCACTTAATATTGGTACTATGTTTGCAGTTCCTGCATCATCAAATGCACAGTTTACGGTTTGCAAAATGTTATATTCTTTATAACTCTTTTTCAATTCCTTGGTGTATTGGTCGATCAGCTTGGCTAACTTTATTTTTTCTGCATGGGACATAAACTAAGGAGATCTGTTTTTATATGTGTCTACATAATCTACTGCTCTAGAGGGGGCACCTCAAGCTCTGGATACAGCTTCCTCGATCCACCCCATAGCGACTCTCCACATTGGGATTACCCAGGAGGAGGGAAATGTGAATTCACATTCTAGATTAGAAGTGAATACCAAGACATCCCCTTTTCTTTTTCCTCCTAATATACTTCACCCCTCTTTTATTGTTTGTACCCAGGGGCGGACTGACCATTTGGAAACTCGGGCACAGCCCGAGGGCCCGGGGTCAGTAGGGGGCCCCATGAGATGCCCCTGGTACCTTTTTCATAGGTTTTGTGAGTTTGGGCAAGGACACAGGGGCCCCATGATCCCCTATTGCCTGGGGGCCCCATGAGTTGTCAGTCCGCCTCTGTCTGTACCTCTTCCTTAATATTCATTCACCTTGCCATAAGGTATGTAATCCTCCTACAGACCCTTTCCTCTACCTTTCCCCCTTACCCTTAGTTTTTCCAATCTACCACTTACCTGACCCTACTAATCACCCCTCTTCTTCTTGTCTTGTCTAGAATTCTCTTTCTTTCTTCTTCCCAATGTCAGGAATTTTTCTGTTGTCATGTTAAAGTTCTCAGTGTGAAAGAGAAGCCCTCTATGCTCCTCTAGGCCTTCGCAAGATGAAACGTCACATTGTCTTCACCTAAGAAACCCACTTCTGGAAAGAAAAACATCTTAGGATGATGAGCAGAAGGTATCTGACAGCATATCACACGCTCTGACAGGCAGCAAGTTAAGGAATGTGAGTATTCCCTTGTCCAACAATGTTTCATAGCTGATGATTGAGGTTTGGGATGGAGAAGGTTATTATACATTACTAGGCAAGGAATTCCCTTAAATTTTTTTTTTTTAGGAAAGGCAAAGGCCTTCCTTACAAAACAGACTGGAAGAAAAATGTGTCATGTTACTTATGAACGCTAGTCGCAAACAGTGAACCTCTACTTATACACATTTCCACTGCTGCCGGAAAATACATGTATCTCAAATATCTGATACTGTACAAAAATGTTATGAATCTCTATATACTATTACTTTCTCAGATACCAGATGAATTCCTTGACTAAATTAGAAGGCACACATAAATAACTATCCTCTATTAATATTTCTAAATTTATGAATGATGAATATAAGACATTGGAATCTCCAATTACAGGCAGAAGAGTTTACAGTAGCACTTACTAACTCTAAATCAGGTAAAGATTCAGGCCAGGTAACTTGCCTTTAGTATACTAAAAAGGATACTAGGAACACTTAGTAGAATATTTTGTGCAGGCTTATAATTCTGTAACTCTGGACAACCCTTCACACCAAGAATGACTACATTCACATATTACAGTCCATCCTAAGGAGGGCAAAGACCTCAGCTTGTGCACCAGCTACAGACCCATATCATTATTAAATTGCAGATATTAAATGATATTCACAGATCCTAGCAAGTAGATCTGAACAGGTGGAGTTAACTGAAGTCAGAGAAGCTAGAGATAAGATAACTAAAACCTTAGATTTGATCTAGTTGGCTGGGTCAGAAGTTCATAAATTAAAGCTACTCTCCACAGATGCTCAAAAAGCCTTTGATGGAGTTGATTGGAGTTTTATGATTGAGGCTTTCAAGCATATAAGTAGGGGAGCCAAAAGGAAATAGCAAATAGCTTTAAACCTACAGCTAGAGTCAAAGCAAATGGAGTCTAATTGATTTCATTTGAGATTAGAAAAGACACTCACCAGGGATGTCCCTTATTCCCACTGATTCTATCCTGAGAACATAAGCATGCCCAAGGAGTGTGCTGGCTGGCACTTTTTCTTGGTTTGGTAGGTGCAATCTAATTAAAATGATTATCCTCCTCATAATATTATATCTATTGCAAGCTTTGTCCATTGATATTCCAAACACATTTCCCCTCACATGCATGCCCTCTTCTTCAAGTTTATCTGGGCTGGTAACCCTGCGATAACTAAACAAACTTTTCTTAGTCAAACAAAAACTGCTGGGGGGCTACGTTTTCCAGATTTATGACTTCATTATTCAGCTACTCATCTAAGGAGAGTAGTGGACTTGTATCACCATGCAGAATGGATACTGCAAACGTGGGTATTATTCAGCTCAATGGTAGTAGCAAGTTCAGTGAATCATGCCAGTCCAAACTGTGGTTAAGAGCTTGTCAGCCCACAGAGGAAAATAAAACTTCAAATAAAACAGCTGTCCACACAAGAGCTTTTCAAAATCAAACAGGTAATAAAAAAATGCTGAGCCACCTGACTCCCTCTTTAGCAGCACTGCTGCTTAGGCTTCAACTTTGGCTATTTGTTGGTCCCTCAGACAGTCTCACTAAGGCCCCTTGGCTCTCTGGGTTCTTTTGACACTCAGACTTTTAGTTGCAGCATCCTGTTGCATGGGCCCATTCCCTGGCCTCTCAATAGGGGATCCTCTGGCACCCTGGACTTTCTCACTGTCTCATTCCTCCGAGATCTCCAGATGCCCTTGGCTCCTTGGAATGAATTCACGAGGGACTTTTTGGGGAATTAATTTTTTTTTTAATAAAGGACTTTTCAAATACTTAAGTATCTTTTTTCTAAGTTCTATTTTGTCAGTGAGTTGGGTTACTACCTAACCCTTACTTATTCATATAGGAGGAAAGGTGGCAGCTGGGGGCCTCCTTATTTTTTTTTTTTTTATGGTTTTAAAGAACATGGTTTATTGTGCCAAACCTTTTCTGTCTCATTAAATTTCTTTTACAAAGGGTTTTATTATAGAATAAGCAGAGATAAACAAACATTTGAGAAACATATACATTGACCAACAAATATGAAACATACAGGGCAATTCCAAAATATTTCAGAGCATGTATTGGTAGAGACATAAGCTTTAACTGAATATTTAAGTGCCATGGATGAGAAGACGGGGAAGGGGAGAGACAATGAGCAAACATTTGGAGGTCAATGATAATGCAAACTCTAAGAGAAAGTTTTGCTATATCAGTGTATAGAAAACAGGAGAGGCATGAAATGAAGCCGCTCCAAATGATAATATATATTCCAGACATTGGGCTCACAAAGGAGTCCAGGTTGCATAGGTAGTATTGCAGATGTAGCACACAGAGCAATGATCACAATCATTACAATAGGCATAAGAACAGATTGGACAAAAGACTAGAGAAGGACAATTGATGAAAAGACGAGGACAAAGACAAAAAAAAAGACAAAAACAATCATAAAAGGGTTCCAGGGCGATTACAACAGAATCGATCCTCATATCGACAGAAGGGACTGGTCAAATCTCGATGGTTGGGCTATATCCAGCCAGGGACGCCATATCTGCAGGAATTTTGTATGGGTATCCAACAGTATAGCCGTCAGTTTTTCATTAACCATTATGAAGTTCATCCGGTTTTTGACAGCCTCGAAGCTGAGGAGAGGAGTCTTCCAAGCCCTCGCAATTGTCAATTTAGTAGCCATAAATAGGTATGATGCCAGCTGCCGTTCAGGACGGAGAAGGCTCTCCAGTGGTTTAAATAGAAGCGCTTTGTACGGGTTACGCTTAATGTCTGTGTGAAGCATAGTGCGGAGAAGGGCATACACCCTAATCCACTAACTTTAGGGCAAGTCCACCAGACCATAGTACCCAATTGTTGGCATCCCCGAAAATAAGCCAGAGAATATGTAGGGATATGACTAGCTAGACAAGCAGGCGTATAATACCATCGATAAAGAATTTTGTAGGCATTTTCGAGGATGATGACATTCCTAGAACATTTAGATAATGCTTGGGTCATGGTCCACCAATCCTGTTGATCCAAAGTCCCCCCTAGTACCAGAGGAATTCTATAAGAAATAATGGAAGAGTAAACCAAGGAAATCAAACCCGGAGCATGGGGTCTATGTCTGCACTGGCTTTCAAAGGGGGACAGACGGTAAGGTCCCGAATGCGTTCGTATTAGTGTATTAATAAAGTGACGAAGTTGAAGGTAACCAAAGTGTTCCCACAAAGGAATATTATAGGAAGAGCGCAGAGTTTCAAAGGTAAGTATTCAAGTGGGAGATAGCAGCGAATGTACATCATAAAAACCATGTGTTTGCCACCAGGCAAACTGCCTAGGATTGTCCCGACCTGGAGGAAATAACGGTTATGTAACAGATGTAACAACGGTAGATGGGCAGAAATAAGGCCAGCGGAATATTTCATAGAATCCCAAAGACGAAGTGAAAGCATCAGCGTCGGGCTAAGGGTAGATGGATGATGAGAAAAAGGAAGCCACGGCAAGGAGGAGAGTGGTATCGGGTGGGAGTCCAACAAATCTACAGCAGCCCATAAGGGGAAATGGTGAGATGCATGAATATGAGCAAGGGGGCAATATTAGCTGCCAGATAATAAGACTGGAGATTTGGGACAGACAACCCACCCTCACTCCTTCGCACAAATAAGATATGTTTACTAATTCTGGGTCGAGAAGAACTCCAAATGAAGGACAAACGTTTTCGCTGATGGATACCCAATATATGCGAAGGTACTGGAACTGGTAAAATGCAAAATAAATACAATAATTTAGGGAGATAGGTCATACGCATCGCATTGATTCTGCCGAACCATGAAAGCGGGTAATGAGACCAGGAGGACAACATCTCGGTCAGCTCGTGGAAGACAGTGCGGAAATTAGCCCGGTACAGTCTGTCATATGTCGGGGTGAGCTTAATTCCTAGATATGGTAGGGCCGAGAGCCACTGAAAAGGGAACGAATGTTTCAAAGTAGTCAAAAGTGATGGTGTAATTGACATAACTTTTGATTTGGCAGGATTGACATGAAGACCCGAAAGAATTGCAAAGGAATCCAGAGACCGCAAGTAAATTTGGCAAAGTAACCCCTGGATTCGTGATTGACAACAGTATATCGTCTGCGAACAGAGACAACTTATGTTGGGAGCCAGCCACATCAATCCCCTGAATATCAGGATGCATACGAATGGCTTCTGCCAACGGTTCCAAGGCTAAGATAAAAAGTATGGGGGAAAGCGGAAAACCTTGCCTAGTATGCCTGGCAACCGAGAACATGGAGGACTCGAATCCATAGTATTTAAGTTTTGCTTGAGGTGATGTATATAGCGAAGAGATCCATCGTAGGAACGAGGGACCAAAGCCAAAGCGGTTAAGGACTGATAAAAGATAAGGCCAGGATAAAGTGTCGAAGGCCTTGTTGATATCTAAAGATAGGAGCATCATATCAATTTTGCGAGTGCGGGCTAAATGTTGTAATTGTAAA